TATTTCGCTTAGGGTGAAAACCCGAAAGGGTTCCCTAAGTTGAAAAAACATTTAGGGTGAAAACCCGAAATGGCACCTTAAATTTAAAAAAAATGTGGGACCAAGATAAAAACATGCAAATGACGCCTTGAGACCAAGGATGGATCCAAGTTGAAAACCCAAAAGGGAAATTTGGATAAGGATTCAGGAAAGGTTCTGCGTCACGACATCCAAATCTTCTGCAGACTTAACGATTCAGGGAAATGTGGCACTTCTGAACATTGTCACATTTTCAAAGTCCCATTAGAAAATGTTGTACTCAAAAGTCGTCTAACGACGTATTAGTTTAAAAGCGCCCTCATTATTATGATCTAAGGCATCTACTTATATATTTTCCCCCAAAATGTTTGTCATATACTTTGTTCATTTTCCTTATAAATAAATATGATAATTTCTCTAAATCAATTCCTTTTAATCATCTTGTGTTGAATTTAAACTTAATGATTTATTCACTCTTGAAAAGATAATTGGGTATTATTGTACAAAGATTTTCCTGAAAGGTACATATATTTGGAAGCCGATCAGAGCTTTTGCACTATACTTGAGATGACTAAAATGCATTTTCTATACATCGAATTTAAACATGGTGAAGAATACAAGATCAAGATCAGAATTCAAGATTCCATAATCAAGAGTCATAAGGACTGACAACCAGAGATTGAAGATTTCCCCCCAAATCCTAAAATAACATATTTCACATATGCATTTTAGGCACACATAAAAACATTGCATCCATAGCATAACATATATGCATAATTTTTGCAGATTATTCTTGTTAGAGTCAATTTCAACTTCACAGCGAAAGATATTGAACTCGAAAGTGATACAATTCACAAGAGTAGATTTCAACTTCACAACGAATGACATCAAATTCAAAGCTCAACTTCACAGCGAAGGAGCCATCCACAATTTCAACTTCAGATATTAATCTCAAAGCGATTCAATTTACAAGATTGGATTTCAACTTCACAACGAAGGACATCCAATTCAAAGCTCAACTTCACAACGAATGATATCGTACCTAAAAGATTGACCCAACTTCACGACGAATGAGTCATCTGTAACACAACAATGAAAAACCAGTTTCATACCAAAGTCTTCATATCAAATTTCAGCTTCACGATGAGGTATATTGGGCTAGAAGACGACTCAGGAGCGAATTTCCAATGCTTTGAGCTCGGTTTCAACTTCATGACGAAGGATATCGTGCTCAAGATTTTCCAGTTCAACTCAACCTCATGGCGAGGGAGTCGTTCGTAATTCAGTCCAAATTTACTATCAATCATGACATCGGATTTCAACTCTACGACAGATGATATTCGATAAGATGGGAATCGACTCCCATAATATATTATGTTAAATTCGGTGATACCTTTATATTGGATGAAAAGTGTGTCTTTTACTCTTTGCCCTATTCCCGTTACACGCTATGGGCAAAGAGGGGCAACTGTAGACACATTTTTTTTGTCTGGGTTTGTGTATTCATATATCCTATAGTATATTTACATTGTATATTTATAGTTTAGCTTACATATATATTATATAGTACCTTAATATATATATTACTATTATTATTTTAACAAATTAATAATTTTCCTTTGTTTTTGTTAGGTACAATCCAACCCGGAAGACGGTCGCGACAAACAGTTAAGTGGTCATATTGATAAAATTTTGAAAATGGTGGTCATATCGACACTAACCTCATAGTTAGGTGGGCATTCAAGTAGTTTACCCTAAAAGACATCATGGGTCTGTAGCTCATATGGTATGACTTATTTGAAACCAATTAAAGAGTTAAATGGTCATGTTGATAAAATTTTGAAAATGATGGTCATATCGACACTAACCTCATATTTAGGTGGACATTCAAGTAGTTTTCCCTAAAAGATATCATGGGTGCGTAGTTGATATAGTATATAGAGTGCTTGTTTTGCATGCGAGAGCCTCTGGTTTTTGATTCACCGTACCTTCTCTTATTCTTTTTTTAATGAGTAAAATATATATATGGTCCCTTATGTTTTCGGTCTAATTGATTTTGGTTATCGGTTAAAAAAGAATAATTTTGGTTCATTGGTTTAAAAAAAGAGTGATTTTAGTCCCTTACGTTATCAGTTCGTTCGATTTTAATCCTTCAGCTGTTAACCCTTTAACGAAAGTGTTATGTGATAATTAAAAAATTAAAAAAAATACATGCTTCTTCTTCTTCTTGAAAACGTGTACCTATACTCCCTTGCTGCCGGTAAACAAGTCATTCTCGTTGGAGTTCTTGGTGCTTCATCTTCCGGATGCAGGTAAACCACATATAGAATTATATATTATAGAAATATTTGCAAGTGGGTTCTAAACTCCCATTATTGTCCTTGTTTTCTCAATTCCATGCAGCTTAAAGAATGTTCTAGGTTTTTTTGAAAAGGTAGAGGAATATGTGATGTTGTAGTTAATGACTCATATGTGATGAAGGTATGGACAACAAAGATGGTTATCGAGTGGGAGCCTGATTCTCTTGATGAAGCATTAGGATACAATAGGCACATTCTTAAGTGAATTCTGGAACAAAACTGAAAAGAGCTTAGTAAACGCGGAGATGTTGTTTACAGATATTGAGGCAAGCTCAAACTTATGAACCATTTTGTTCGTTTTATGACTAATTTTAAGCTCAAGTTCATCATTCTTTTCAAGTAGGAAACTACGGTTAAATGGAGATATGGGGTAATTACTAATTACTATCGTCTAAACTACATCCCCTATTGAATTGTAAGAGCATGTGAGGGAGGAAAATTATCGTTTAGAGTTGTCAGAACATTCTAAGTATCTGGAACCTTTAGTTTTATAGTAAACAAAAAACAAACTACAATGACAAGAGATAGAACAACCAAGGAAGTATATGAGATGACAAATAATGATGTTTAATTTTGTGGGTTAGTAATACTCGATCACGACACATGAAAAGCTGTCTCAACAGCTGTGACACTGTTGTTCTTTAGGCTTAGGAATTTAGATAAGTGTTAATTGCTTAGGCATGCAAATGCTTGAAAAAATACCTAGCAAGTGGTTTCATGCTTTCCCATGTTGGGAATTCGTATTTGCATGGATAATCATAATATCTAGCACCATGGATAATGCACTATATTCAGCAGTATGCTTTCCCAATAGATAATGCATAATATTTAGCAGTATGCTTTCCCAATGGATAATGAATAATATTCAGCACCATGCTTTCCCATGGTGGGAATTCATGTTTGCATGCTTTTTCACTGATCGATTCGTTGGTGGGAGGAAAAAGAAGAAGACACATGAATTATCTTTTACTTTTTAGTTGTCAACTCAGGTTTCCGTTAACGAGTTAACTGGAGTTAATGATTAAGAGACTAAAATCAAACGGATCAATAACGTAAGAGATCAAACGCACTTAACTTTTAAATCAATGACCAAAATCAGTCAGACAAAAAATAAAGGGAACTATTTGTATAATACGAAGCATTTATTAAACTCCTCATTGAAACTTTTTTGACAACAAAGAAATAAGTTGGTTTACTCTTATTGATCTTATAGTATATACAATCGTCACTAAATTTATATCAAAACCGATGAGATAATCACTTATTGATATTTATAACACCATTAACGAGATGCTTACTTGAATTCAGAGATCGATTAACTCAACAAGCCTTCTATCACATTTCTTATCTACTTAGAGTGTTTATCCATTCAATTAATTTATCTTGATGGATTTGTTAACCATACTATTTTATGTGAGATCGATACCTCACACACGAGAGTGTATCCGCTTTATTACTTGAAGCGATAATGGAAGCTTACACTTGTCGGTACACACATCAATACCTAACTGCACGTACCAAAAAATTAGATATGTATAAATAATAAAGTTAAGTATATATTTAATCAAAAAGAAACTTTTTCAACAAACAAATTTTAAAAAGTTGAATTTATTTATAAACATAATGAGAATAAGGCATTGGCTTATGGGAGGTTAACACTTATTTAAGTTTTAATATGTATATATAAATATATATATCATGTGTGAATTTTCATTGAAGATTTTATCTTAATTTTAAATTTATTATATGTGAGTGTTGTTCAGATACATTTTAATTATTAGTTTAATTATTAATGTGTATTTGTATAATTCTCTTATTCATTCATTTTTAAGAAATAAATTATCTACATCTCGATTCGACTACCAACTAGTTGTTTTGGTCCAAATATCATTTCTTCGGCAATTGAGTGTTTAAATATTACAGAACCGAACCCTGTACTTTATCAAATATTTGAATTTCCCTCTAACTTCATTTCCTACATTCCATTTGTTGTTTCCAGTGAGATAATAACAGATTTGGTACCTATAATTTGTCAAGTTTTTATAATATAATTCCTCCACTTCCAATTCCTTGTAAAAATATCACCTAAAGTTTCATTTAGTCCATCAATGTAGTACCTCCCTCACATGTTTTTTAATGGGATGATTGAGAGATTTGACCCTTTTACTTTATCAAGCCTTTTAATTTAGTCCATACGATATATAAACACACACAAAAAATATATGGGGTGGGCCATGGTATAAGGTAGGCCCAGGATAATATGGAATCAAGAATCAAACTGCTTCTTCTCCAATCTCCCATAACTGTTCCCGCTCTCCCATCTGAATATCTGATCCCCATTACCATTCTCGTTTCTTTCTCGGGCGGCCGTTGAATCTCCGTTCAAGGACCGGTGGAACACCGGCCCGGAACTGCCAACGCCGGTCATAAGGCTTCTTTCATGCAAAAACGCTGGCAAGATAATATTCCAAGAATACAAAGTTTTTGCCATTGATCTTAGTAAACGGGTGAGCAAGATAATATTCCAAGAATCTCTGAAATGGTCTCTTTAAATTGTTGTTCATAGGTTAACCAGAGTCTTTAAATTTTTGTTCATAGGTTAAGCAGAGTCTTCACTCACATATGGCTGATTTGGTTCAAAGACTATCCAAGAAAAGGAACGTGGAAAAGGAAAAGGAAAAAGATATGGAAAAGGGTCAAAAACACATTGATCAACTTAGCAACCTACTAGACTCCATTATTTGCCACATCCTTTCCTTTCTCCCCACCAAATTGTCAGTTGCCACCAGTACCTTGTCAAAGCGATGGAAGCATTTATGGACTGCTGTTCCCGTCCTCTCCTTCAGTTCAGCTGAATTCATTGGTACATTGGGCAGCTTTGTGGATTCTATAGGTAAGTTTTTAACCAACTGTCAAGCTCAAAATGTGTACCAGTTTACCATAGACTTTAAACCTTTCTTGGAAGTGGATGAAGAGCATCTGGGTACATGGGTTGCTGCTGCAGTAGAAAGGAATGTTCAAGAGCTGAAACTCAGCCTCAATTTTTCACATGTACCAACGGTTAGACTGCCTGGTCGTTTATTTGCTTGCAGAACACTCAATCTCTCAAGCTGATTGGTAATATTTTCATCGATCTCCCTGAAAATGTTTGTTTACAAAATCTAAGGACTCTGCAACTGGAGTGATTACACTACGCAAATGAAGGGTCTTTCAACATCCTACTTTCTGGTTGTCCAGTTCTTGAGGACTTGGTTGTTGAGAGGATTTTGGATAATGGGATTCTTGATATGGTCATCAATGTTGCTTCATTGAAGAGACTGAATCTGAAGAATTATGAAGCTAATGATCACGGTATACTGATCAGCGCTCCGCTCTTGGAAAGGATAGAGCTGTCGCAGAAGAATTTTAATGTTTTGAATTTTCAGATCGATTCTTCCAGCTTGGTGGAAGCAATCATAGATATCCATGTAACATGTGAGCCCATTGAAGAGTTCGCTAATCTTGAATTTCTGTCTTTATCAGAATATGCCTTATATGGTATGGCGTTTCATGAGTTCCATAATCTGGTATGCCTGGAAACTACAACAAGCTGTGCAAATTGGGATGATCTGGAAGAGTTGCTTCACGGCTCAAACAATCTCAAGACTGTGGTATATCACATTGAAGTACCAATACTCCACAGGGGTCACAACTGTGATAAGTCATTTTCGAAGACTGTTCCGGTGTGTGTGTCTGCGAGTTTGAAGGCCCTTAAACTGACGGGATTCATCAATCAAAACTGTAACTGGACATTCATTCAATATATGCTGAAGAACGCTAAATTCTTGGAGGAAGTGAAGATCAGGACTTCCTCGATGTTGAAGAAACGACGCAGCCATATTAGAAACATGTTGAACTGCCCTAGGGCCTCAACAGAATGCCAGATTCGTTTTTTCTTGGACTTGACAAGCGAAGAATATCGGTTCCGATTGAAGTTCTCTGCATTCTGGTTTTGTAAATGTAGTTGCTTGTGAATATTGCTTGTTTGAGTGTTGAACACTGAATGAACTGAACAGGTACATTTGATAATAGTAGTCCCTGACTCCCTGCTATAATCTACAAAGTTGCTTGTTTGCGAATATTATCTCTTGTTCCATAATCTGAACAGGTACAAAGTTGTTTTTTTGATGAGTCAACTCCTTCGCTAATTACTGCTGCAAATACCTTTTCTTTCTGTTTTTTAACTTGTTCCTTTTTCTTTTGCATCCATGTAGTTTATGTTTTGTAATAATCAAAACTAACAACAAACGGGATATATAGAAAAATCCAAATGAAAAATATAACCAATGAAGGAACGAATATCACCTCTTGTGCTGCTATGTTTGGTATAATGTTTATTTCCATGATTTTAGACAACTTTAATTCAAGGAGCTTTCTATTATGATATCAAATAAGAGGATAAAGGATATTGGGACAATAGTCATAATTAATTTTAAATATACGAGTAATTTTTTATGTAAATTATATAAATTAAAATTTATATAATCATAATTATTTGAAATATAAATCTTAAATCTTAAACTCTAAGTCTTAACTAATAGACTGTGTATAAAATTTCCCTAAATATATTTATCAATATTTATTTATAAATCTTCCATGAAACTTTTTATTTATTGATTGATAAAGTGACATTTTATGATTTACCGAAATATATAAGACTTACCATTAACAATACACTAAAATATTATCTCTATAAATAAAATGAAAAAAAAACTCCAACAAATTAAGTAATGTTTGAAATTGTTGATAGAACATAGGTGATTCTGTCAGTTGATGACAATACATCTCTTTTAATTTTGGTGGAAAGTCGTAGTTAATAATTTATCGATAATTAGTCATTTCATGGTAGAGCAACAAGATGTTAAGATCACATACTTACACCGGTGTAAAGTGTTACAATTAACACATACTCACACCTTAAATAAACAAATGGTCCCCTAACTATAGGATACTACTTTGATGAGTCATTGGCTATTAAAAGTTATAAAATGGTCCCTCGACTATAAGAAGTTGTTTTGTTGAGTCATTCGGCTATTAAAAGCAACAAAATGGTCATCCGACTATTCATTATGTTCCAAACTCGTAATTTTCTGTTAAAAAATTAACGACAATCTGAGTTGGATGTTAAACTGCTGACTGAGATATGATAAAACTTTATCTCAAAATCTCAAACGACTATCATATCTCAGCCGACAGGTTAATTTCCAACGCAGATGACCGTTAATGTTTCAACAAAAAAGGATGAGTTTAGAACATAATGAATAGTCGGGTGATCATTTTGTACTTTTATTATTTGAGGGACTCAACAAAGCAACTCCCTATAATCGAACAACCATTTTATAACTTTTAATAGTCGAGGGACTCAACAAAGAAACACCATATAGAACATAGGTGATTGTGTCAGTTGATGACAATACATCTCTTTTAATTTTGGTGGAAAGTCGTAGTCGATAATTTATCGATAGGATGATGCTGGCACGCTCGACGAGCGTTGATGACTACGGTAAATGATGAGCACCATTAAATTAAATTATACAAGCTTTAAATCATAAAGTACTAAACGTATAATTATAAATTAGTTAAAATCTAAATGTAATTTAATTAAAATATAATATTTAAAAAACATTATTTTTAGGGTAAATTATTCCATTGACCACCAAACTATCTATCCTTTTTACTTTAAACATTGATTTTTCAATTTTATCAATCGGGTGACCTAACTATTTACATCTTGTCAATTAAGTCACATGTCGTTAAATATTAACGGAGGAGATGATGTGTGCATGTGGCAGTCAATAAAATTTGTATAATTATACATTTAGTCTTCATTACTTACACTTTCTATTAATTTGGTCCTAATTTTTATTTGATTAAATAAATTTAATCTTCAATTCGATGGTGACATGTGTCATTGTGTAATTGGATTTTTTTATATTTTTTATTTAATAAATTTTCCATTCAATCAAGTAGTTTCATGTGTTGACCAATTGAATGAATGGAAAATATATTAAATCAATAACCATTATTGGTGGGATTTGAACCTGAGACACAAGTTGAAAAACTAAGTGTCTTAACCACTAAGCTAGACCAGTAAATTTGTCTAGTATACAAAACATAAATTTATACTAAAGTGAATGGTAATAAATGACCTTATAAAGACTCAAACATGAAATAATTGAATAGTATATAAAGTTAATGGTGATCATTTTGTACTTTTAATATTTGAGGGACTCAATAAAGCAACTCCCTATAGTCGGGCTACCATTTTATAACTTTTAATAGTCGAGGGACTCAACAAAGAAACTCCATATAGAACATAGGTGATTATGTCAGTTGATGACACTACAATCTCTTTTAATTTTGGTGGAAAGTCGTAGGCGATAATTTATCGATAATCAATCGGCTTTTCATGGTAGAGCAACAACATGTTAAGGTCACATACTTACACTGGTGTAAAAGGTTACAATTAACACATACTTACACCGGTGTAAAGTGTTACATACATTGATTTAAATTTATTTTATGGTAAAGTACACAAATGGTCCCCTAATTATAGATACTACTTTGATGAGTCCTTGACTATTAAAAGTCATAAAATGGTCCATCGACTATAGGAAATTGCTTTGTTGAGTCATTCGGCTATTAAAAGTTACAAAATTGTCACCCGACTATTCATTATGTCTAAACTCGTCATTTTCTGTTAAAAAATAACAACAGTCTAAGCTGGATGTTAACCTGCTGACCGAGATATGATAAAACTTCATCTCAAAATCTCAAACGACTATCATATCTTAGCAATTAACACATACTTACACTGGTGTACGTACATATCTCAATATCTTAGCAATTAACATATACTTGCACCGGTGTAAGTATGTACATTTCGCAATACCTTAGCAATTAACACATACTTACATCGGTGTAAGTATGTACATCTCTCAATATCATAGCAATTAACACATATTTATACTGGTGTAAGTATGTACATCTCTCAATATCTTAGTACCTAGAAATAAACACATAATTTTATTGGTGTAAGTATATTTCTATATTTAAAAAAAATAAAAAATATATATTAAGTTATTTGTGTATAAATTTTATTGAATATATATATATATATATTAGAGAATATAAAATTATATTTTCTATGAAATTCTGTGTAAATATTTTGAATTTAATATTAAAAAATTAACTTGTTAAAAAAAAAATATATCTCAAGTACACCTTGGAAAACATACATTTTTCTTATCTTATATTCCTTCAAACAAACATTATAATCTTACATTGTTGCCAAACAAATCAAACAAAGTAATATAACATTCTCATTCATATGTTAAGTAATGTAACATTCTAATAATCTTATTTCTAATAGTAATCTTATATTTTGTTAATCAAATTATGATGACTACTCATAGGGATGAACTAGAGGGGCTGCTGTCAGGGACAGTCCCCTGCAAATTTCAAATGGTCATATATTTTAAATATTTTCTATTGATAATTTGTTTTTGTTCCCTAACATAAAATCTTGTGTTCGTCCCTAATTACTCTTAAGTTGACATGATAGGCAAATCTTGTTGTTGTGGTCAGTTGTTAATCAACTTTGATTCTATCAAATCAAGTAGGGTATGCTAGAAATTATGTCAAAAGATTATGATTTTTTAGGAATACAATACGCCAGGTCCATTACATCTTATGTTGAGATGTTCTTCTGTGGAGACTTTCTTCTGAAAACACAATCTAAATGTGTTAACGTGCAGAGTGAAGGAGCTTTGTAAGGGGAATAATCATAGTAAAAAAATCAACAAAGAATATGTATGTATTAAGTGATGCACCGAGAAACCGACAATAAACAAAATTTATTTTTTTTAGAAAACGAATACGTACTTACACCGATGTAAAGTGTTGTATACATTGATATAAATTTATTTTAGGGTAAAATACACAAATGGTACCCTAACTATAGGATACTATTTTGATGAGTCTCATGACTATTAAAAGTTATAAAATGATCCTTCGACTATAGGAAGTTGCTTTGTTGAGTCATTCGACAATTAAAATTTACAAAATAGTCACCCAACTATTCATTATGTTCCAAACTTGTACTTTTCTGTTAAAAAATTAACAACAATCTGAGTTGGATGTTAAACTGTTGACTGAGATATGATAAAACTTGATATCAAAATCTCAAACGACCATCGTATCTTAGTCAGCATGTTAATTTCCAACTCAGACATCGTTAATGTTTCAACAAAAAATGATGAGTTTAGAACATAATGAATAACCGGATGATCTTTTTTGTATTTTTTAATATTTGAGGGACTCAACAAAGCAACTCCTTATAGTCGAGTGACCATTTTATAACTTTTAATAGTCGTAAGACTCAACAAAGCAGTATCATATGGTCAGGGGACCATTTATGTAATTTACCCTTTATTTTATATCTTTTGGTTTTCTATCGTGGTTCTAAATCTTTTAATATTTGTTATTATAAAATAATATGACGCATACAATAAAAAGTAAAAAAAATACTAAATTTTTATTTTATTTTGAGTATTTATTATGTATGTGTTTGATTCAAGTTTTATTTTTATATGTATTTTATTGAGTTTAGCTTTTAGTATTAATTTTCATAAAATGTTTTCTATATTATAATTTTTTATGTTTTATGTTAATTTTATCAAATAATTTGATATGATATTTCGTTGTACAACTTATACATGTAGCATGTATAAAATAAAAAAAGTGTAACAATTATACATACTTACACCGATGTAAATATGTATATTTCTCAATATTTTAGCATTTAACACATACTTATATCAGTATAAATATGTTCATTTATTCTCTTATATGCAATATATTTTTAGTTTTTGGTGCTCGAGGAGGTAAAAAAGTGTGGGGAAGGGAGAGTGAAGAAAGGACTAGTCAAAATGATTATTTTTATGGTTAAATTGTGTCACCTCAGTACTTAACA